TCCCCTCTCCTCCCTCCCCCTCTCCTCCCTCCCCCTCATCTCCCCACAGGTATCACTCCCCTTTCCCCATTTTTGTCCTCTTCACTCTCAGTGCTATAAACAGCTTTTCTACCCTGATGCAGTTTGGAAGTGCAGAGCCAGGGCCATCTTTCAGACCTGCAAGCTTGCCTGCCCAGTGGGAAGAGGGGATCGTCCTGCTTCTGGGTCATTAGCATCCCACAGTGCTTGCCGCTCTTTAATAGCTTATGTCTTGCTTGGTATGAATTTTTTGGTGGAACTTGGTGTGTGTGTGTGTGTGTGTGTGTGTGTGTCTGTGTGTGTGTGTCTGTGTGTGTACAGCACTACAACACAGAAGCTAAATAGACCTTGACTTTCAAGTCTGAACAGCTGACCGGTCCCGCTGTTGACTGAGTTCTCAGCAGTAGTGCTTGGTCCCGCTGTTGACTGAGTTCTCAGCAGCGGTGCCTGGTCCCGCTGGTGACTGAGTTCTCAGCAGTAGTGCTTGGTCCCGCTGTTGACTGAGTTCTCAGCAGCGGGCCTGGTCCCGCTGTTGACTGAGTTCTCAGCAGCGGTGCCTGGTCCCGCTGGTGACTGAGTTCTCAGCAGTAGTGCTTGGTCCCGCTGTTGGCTGAATTCTCAGCAGCAGCAGTGCCTGGTCCCGCTGTTGACTGAGTTCTCAGCAGCGGTGCCTGGTCCCGCTGTTGACTGAGTTCTCAGCAGCAGTGCCTGGCTCTCCAGTGCTCCCTCCCGACTGACTTGTTTTCTCTTTCCTAGTGTATGAGTTGTTTGCGTTCATCAGTCACATGGGAACGTCTACAATGAGTGGCCATTATGTTTGCCATATCAAAAAGGAAGGAAGGTGAGCCTTCATGGAAGGTAAAGCCGTAGCTGCGATTGCTGAGCCCCCACTGGGTACCGGACTCTCTGCTGATGTGTTGTCTGTCTGCATGCTGTCTAATCTTTGTATGTTTCTGTGTTGTGAATTAGGTTCTTAGGTTGGTATTGAAGGTGTATCTCCCTTTGTTTGTTTGTTTTAAATCAGAGTCTCTATATAGCTCAAGCTGGCCTGGAACTTGCTTTGTGTCTAGGCTGGTCTTTAAGTCTGAAGTCCTGTTACCTCAGCCTCTGAGCTAGGGTCACAGGTATCACCGCCATGTCTGGCAGGCTGTGTGTTTAACTTTGTTCTACAGATCCAGATGCTGAGGACCAGGTTAGCTGGTTAACGGCTGTGTTAGAACTGGTATTCAAAGTTACTTTTAACCATCATGCCAAGGTGAGGTCTCACAGTAAAGGTGTGCATGGAGCAGCAGGTGGGCTGCCTTTAGAACCTCATAGAGGAGCCATAGCAGCCAATAGAGCAAGAGAGCCAGGAGGCCTAGTCAGTTTGTTTTAGGCGGTGATATGCTTTTTAGTATAGGTATGTCTCTGGCATCGCCTGTTCAAATGTTATGAGTAGATGTATAGTAACAAGTTATTTATTACTTATCTGATACTCAGATTCAACTGCGGGTGACCTGTTAGCCCAAAACCTGGGTGCTTTGCTATGTGGCAGCCTGGAAAATTACTTTTTTTTTTTTTTGTCTTTTTGAGACAGGGTCTCCCTGTAGCCCCAGCCGTCCTGGAATTCACTATGTAGACCAGGCTGGCCTTGAACTCACAGATCCGCCTGCCTCTGCTTCCTGAGTGCTGGGACTAAAGGTGTGCGCCACCACACCCAGCGGAAATTACTTTTGGCTTCTTGAGTGGAACGGGAAGGAGGCGGGAAGGAGGAGGGAAGCCTTGTGATGCAGCCTCTGCCTCTGTGGCAGCACACCCACACAGGCCAGTCCTCAGGCCTCCTGACACTGGCGTAACACATGCCTTGATCACCCTGCTAGGGTGCTGGCCTTGCTCCCATGTCCCCCACCTCCTGGGCAGTCTGTTCTCAGCAGACTCACTTCTGTTCTTTTTATCTGTTTGCTTTTAGTTTGATCTTCTCAATTTGATCAATGGAGTCATTGAGCACAGGGACTAGTATTTACAACGACTTATTATAGAAAAAATGGTGAAAATAATTGTAACAAGTTAGTAAAATACAAAGCTGTACAAAGATACTTTGGAAGTCTAAAGATAACTGTTATCTGCATACACACACATATACATATGTTTTTTTGGTATCATTGAAGGAGGGTACACATACATATATATTTATGCATATGCATTTATTGCCTCTAAAATCTTCGTTTATGTAAGGTACTTATGCTTTTAAAACTTCCCTTTCATATTATATTGTGATTAGTTTCTTGCTTTACTAAATGCCTTTTAAGTTTCAGTTTTCAAATAGTTTACTCATGCATGTGTGCTTCTGAATTTTAACTCACTCTATACCTGAAGCTTAAATACACATTATTGTTTATAATTCTTTGATCAGTTTCTGAGACTGTCTATGAATTTCTTTTCAAAAAATTTTATTTATTATTTTTATTTTATTTACGTGTATGAGTGTATTGCCTGGATGTAGTGCAATGTCTCGGAGGTCAGAAGAGGGAACTGGAGTTAAGGATGGATTTTAGCTGCCATGTGGGTGCTGGGAATTGAACCTGGATCCTCTGCAAGAACAGTCAGTGCTTTTAACCACTGAGCCATCTCTCCAGCCCCAATATGGATTTCTGTAAAGAGAATTACAGAATGAAGAATTTAAACTATTTGGAGGATTCTGATATATTTTAGTCATTACTTTAAAAATTATTTATTTTATGTGTATGAGTGTTTTGCCTGCATGTATGTAAGTGTACCATGTGTGTGCCACACCCTCAGAGGCCAGAAGAAAGCATCTGGTCCCCAGGAACTGGTGTTACTGATGGTTGTCAACTGCCATATGAGTTCTGGGAACTGAACCCAAGTCCTCTGCAAGAGCAGCCAGTGCTCTTAACTGCTAAGCCATCCTTCCAGCCAAGTCACTACTTTTCGGTTGAACTCGAGAACCAAAATCCAAGGCTGAGGATGTGGCTCAGTTGGTAGGATGCTTGCCTAGCATGTGCAAGGCCCTGGGTTCGATCCCCAGTACCACCTAAACAAGAATGGGGCACTTGGAGGTGAGGGCAGAGGGAGCAGCCGTTCAAGACCAACTTCTGCTACATAGAAGTTTGAGACCAGCCTGGGATAAAATCCACGTGTCCAAATAGGAGAGGACGGAGAGTCACTGGAGTTCTGTTCCTTTTGGGCAGTGCTTGGTGCATGTTCATGCTCACATTAAAGCCTGGTTGTTGAGTACCATTCCCAATACCGTGTGGTGACGTCTTTCTGCCGTGTCCAGAGCTGTCACACGCCATCAAACGTCTCTGTCTTTGTTTGCAGGTGGGTAATCTACAACGACCACAAAGTCTGCGCCTCAGAAAGGCCCCCCAAAGACTTGGGTTACATATACTTCTACCGCCGGGTACCAAGCTAAGCCTCACGTACGAGGGTTGGTGAGAAGCCATACGCCTTTTCAATTTACCAAAAAAAGAAAAAAAGAAAAAAAAAAAAAAAAGCAAAGAAAAAAAGTTGGCCAAGAAGACACAGAGGAGGCTGTGGGCATCTTTAAAGAACACTGTCACTCACAGCCTTCTGTCATGGAAAAGAAGACGTGTCTATCAGTGGTGATGCTCTGCGTGGATAGTTTTCACAGCCGTCTAAGGAGAGGGTGATGTAAGCAACGGCACTGGCCACCAGCTCATCAAATATGGGGCGCCCCTATCCTCTGTTCTGCTTTGTGGTCAGTGGCAGTGGCCCCCAGAGAAATAAGTCAATGAGGCCAGTAGTGCAGCCCGCCACAATAAAGAAAATAGCCCACTTTTTTTTTTTTTTCACAGAAATTTAGCACCTGGACTGCATTTGATTTATGGCATATTTTTTTCATTACCCACAATAATTTCTGATCTAGCCCTGGATAATGGGTATCTGCACTGAAAGCCATTTTTTAATTTAAATCATGGAAATTCATAATACTGTCGTGTGAGTGTGTGAGACTGAGCGCATGTTTGTAGTCCACTAGAAATCAGATGGGTTGCTTTTGGAAGGTTGAATAGTTGGTATTAAGCATGTCCAGAAAAGGTAAGTAACTATTTTAACAAAACTACAACTCAGGAACAATGAAAAAGACTAGCTCCCAACTTCAGTTTTCAAGAGTACAAAGGGCTGAGCTGTCCCCTCTGAGCTGCCCAGCAGTCACATGGGTCTGTGCCATTTGACGGTAATGCCAGACACGCAAGCCTCCTCATGTTCTTTGCCAAAGGCAGATGGGCTGTCCTCCCCAGCAGCCGACTCCCCCAGGCGTCAGTGTATAGCTTTGGTCTGATAGCTAATCCCCTGGAATCCTGTTAAATGCCTCTAGTATGTCAGTTTTCTGGTCTTTGTTACACCCCCCTTCTAGACTTTTCTGGAGCTGTTCTCACCTCTGCCCTCATTCCCATCTGCCCTGGCTCATCATGGAATCCTGGGCACTTTAAGGATTTCAGGTGCAGACACGCTTCTACGACATCTGGAAAGCGTCCCTTCCATTTGGTAGTTTTGGTGTTTGAGTTGCAGCTGGTGATCAGAGCAGACTTTGGATGTGCTATCAGGTGGATGAAAGCTCTCTATCGTTTTCCTACTGTTTCTCACCAAGCTCAGGTCTCTGGAGTTTCTAGTTCAGATCAGTCAGTCACATGAAAAGGGATTTATTGCTGTCTGCTTAACATGTATTGTTTGATGTAAAAGACCTTTCCAGAAACTGTAGAAAAATAAAGAAGTAGAACTGTTTGGGTGAACTAAAACAGAGGCGTTGGGTTAGGATGTGGTAAGTTTCAACAGTCAGGATTCTGGTTGTGATGGGGCCCTGTCTCAAGGAAGATCCCATGTGCCATGTAAGCATGGGCCATGCATGGAGCCTGGTCCTGGGCCCGGAAACCTGGGCACTGCATGAACTGGCCAGGGACCTTGGACAAATCCCTTCTCCTGCTCCCTGTGCCTTGCTGATAGCTCCCCCTTTCCAGTGGATTTGATCAGATTTTCGGAACCTTTACAGAGAAGCTCCAGTAGAATATGCCCCTTCCTTTCCCACTTATCTGATGCTTTTTTTCCACTTGGGAACAACCAAGGTGTCAGAGGGAGGGGCCCATGGCATAGGAATTCCCTACTGCACGGCCCACTGCTGCCACTTCTAGTCTGGACTCGAGATCCCACCTCTGTTACGCATGTCTTTGACCCCTGTGGGAATCCCCATCCTACACAGCCTTGTAAAATTCAGTCTCCTTCGGGCTGAGTGTCATTGACTGCTGGTTTTCAGTATTATAAAGGGGGTCACTGGAGGTTTGGATTAAAGTATGGACAGAGATAGAATGTATATTTTGAGCAAAATAAAAATTTTATAATAAAAATTTGCAAGATCAATGGTGTACTCCACATTTAAGATTATAGGCTATAAATTAATTTCACTAGGTAGAACAAGCAAATTAGGCCTTCTGATGCCAAGATACACTGTCAGAAAGTGTAAGGCGGCTGGCTTTTTTCTGCCTTGAGCAAAAGGGCTGTTTCAAGGCAGTTTTGCTTCTATCCTTTCTGTATTACAGACTGAGGCTTGGAAGGACAGGAACAGCGACTCTCTTTGTTGCTTAAAAATGTACCTACATGTGTCTCCCAGTGTCTGCAAGGCAGGCATCTTTGGAATGGGGGTGTGGAACGTGCTCCTTAATTTTACATGTGTGTGGTCAACACTGCTGTGACTGAAAACTGGAAGAATGTGTGGGTTGTGTCAGCTCATCCCCTGCGAGGAGTCCTCTGTGTGAGGCCTGGTGGTGTAACCGTGTAATTCTCACTGTGTGTAGGTATCTGTGTGAAAGACAGAGCGTTCTTCCTGTAAATATCTTCTCACAGTCATTTGTGTACACTCCCAATGTGTCTTTGGAAAGTGAATCAAGGTTTTAATTTTGTCAGTTGGTCCAAGCACCCAGATAACTACTCAGAAATCCAATTTGGTGCAGACAGGATTTTTCTTTTAAAGAAAAAAAGAATCTTGGCAGAATCATGTTCTAATGACGTTTTACATCCATGTTGCTTTAGTATCTGGAGTGGCCTGTTTCCTCAAACCTACAAGAGAATGTGCGTGCTGGTCTCCCTCTGCACCCCTGGGGCCCCTGTGGTGTCTCTTCCCTGAGCTTCAGCGTCACACCTGGGCTCATCTGCCCCACTGACGTTACCTCCTTGGCTTTTGTCATACATTCTGGAAAGTCCCATCCTGCCCTGCCACTCCATTCTGTCATTTTCCTGTGGTTCTTAGCAGGGTCAGACATGGGCTGGGCGGTCCCTCGGAGGCTGTTTTAGCTTTCTCACTTCCTGTCAGTCCTGTCACAGTTCCCAACCCGTTTCTGTTTCTGTTCCACTTTCTTTGGTCATCCCGTTTTCCCTGCAAAGCAGAGACAACAATTCATGTAAGTCACCCTCTTGGAACAGTCTAAACTTCCTTCAGCTAAGTCTAACATCTACAGACTGTTTTAAAGCCCCAAGTCCGTTGTAGATAGCTGTGATCCCCAGGTAGACACTGATGATGTTGTCTGTCCCAGAAAGGTTGTTTCCACCATCAGTCATCATAGACCCGGGTCCAGGACATCTGTGAGGAGCTGACAGGGGACACGGGCAGCACAGGGGACGGGATTATATATAATGTGCTTCTGTCTGTTAAGTGGACTCCCAGGAGACAGAACAAGGCCTGTGTTCTTCAGTCTGTAGCTAGGACCACAATGGCTGTCATAGGATTGCCCACTCAGCAAGTCACCTCCGACTTTGCAGAAGATTCTGTGGCCCTTCAGTGTGGTGGCAGATGGCCCTTTGAGATTTGGCCACTTCAAACTAAGATTGTCCCGCACACATAAAATACATGTTAGAATACAAATATCCCACCTCTGTTTTATGCTGAGCACAAATGGTGTGGGATATATTGATTAAACGGAACAGCCTTTGTATAGCTACCGAGAAGTACAGCATCAGATCTTTGCTAAGGTGCCTCTGTTAGTGTGTGCTGTGTGTCTGCTGTTAAGCAGGTGGTGAAGTGTCATGGGCAGGAAGGGAATTTTGCAGCAACACAGTAGATATTTTGTCTAGAGTTAGGAGCATGTAAAGCACTGGATGCTGCCCCCTCCCCCTGAAATCACAGGACTTTTCTGCCTTAAAAAGATGTACCTCCCCAACTTAAAAACCAAAGCAAGGGTGTCCCCCATGGCTGTCCGTCAGCTGGGCACTGGAGCTGCTCTGTGTCTTGTCACTTGTTTCCCAGCATCCCCTGGGGCCAGGGCTTAGGCACCCTGGTTATTGGTCTCATCTCAAGCAACATTCTCTTCTGGTTTCCCTCCCTGGGTGTTGTGTTCACAGCTGGGCAAGTGAGAATGCTGTGTGACTCTCACTGCTCCCCCGCCATGGGCCGAGGCTGAGCCCGTGGCCTGCCACCTGCCCAGCGGGTTTGATGTCTGTTCCCAAAAGACTTGGTATTTTATTTTATTTTGCTGTTGTCACAGTTGTTTAAGCTATCTCAAGTGTTTGGGGAGAGTATTTGCCTGTGATGGGAAGAGAGATGGATGATTTATTGCTTTGATAGTTTTAAATTAAAAGCTATTCTCACAAACTCAGGTCCCATCACGGCTCTTGTTTTCATTCCTCCTGGAAAATGCCAAGTAAGTGCTGGTGTCGCTGGGGTTCTTACCCAAGGAGAATGTGGGACTGGGGACAAAGCCTGGCTTTATTTCCGCCCAGGACTTCTTGGTATGGCCGGGAAGCCTTGGTCTCCAGTATGGATGTCCAGGAAGGAAGGGCTGGCTGGGTGGGGGTTGGGGAGACTGACATCTTCTGGACTTCCCCTGCTGGGTGGGTGTCCAGTCCCACCTAGGAGTCCAGGGAAAGCTCTATGGTCCTGGTTGTGGTGTGGTGGCCTCTGCCACACAGGTGGAGTTGGGGTGGGTGTGCTGCAGTGGGGATGTGGCATGCCTGACACCGTACTTCTCAGGTGTAGAGTGTCATACTGCTGCCATGACAACCTCACACACTTGGTTTAAAGCAGTATGTTGACTGGTCCTATGAGGCTAAACAGGGTGCAGGAGGATATACTCCTGCAGTTTCTAGAAGCTTCTCACATCTCTTGGCTGGTAGCCTCCTGATAGCCAGTCCGTGTGTTGTCATGTCGTCTCTGAATGGAGTTCCTGCCTCCCTTTTAACAAAGAGTCCTGGATGACACTGACCCCCAGGTAATCCAGACCACTTACATCAACAAAATGTATAACCTGGGTGTACTCCTGTGATCCTAGCACGTGGGAGGTAGAGACAGGACAATCAGGAGTTCAGGGTCGTCCTCACCTACATAACCAGCTAAGAGGCCAGTCTGGACTACATGAGACCCTGTCTAAACAAACAATTCTTTTTTAAAAGATATTTTCAAATATTTTGTTATTTTTATTTTGGGAGTGCATTGCCTGCATATATGTAAGTGTACCTGTGTCATGCAATACTGTCAGAGGTCAGAAGAGAGCGTCGGATTTCCTGGAACTGGAGTTATGGGTGGTTATTAGCCACCATGTGGGTGCTGGGAATCAAACCTTGGTCCTCGTAAGAGCAGTCAGTGCTCTTAACTGCTGAGCCATCTCTCCAGACCTGTAAGCAACAATTCTTAATTTGATCATATCTGCAAAGTTCCTTTGGTTGTATCAGGCAACACATTCCTAAATTACAGGGATTAGAATGTGGACATCTTTGGGTTGGGGATATTATTCCATTTCACAAAGTGTGTTAATTTGGTGGTGCACACCTTTAATCCCAGCGCTTGGGAGGCAGAGGCAGGCAGATCCTTGTGAGTTCAAGGCCAGCCTGGTCTACATAGTGAGTTCCAGGACAGCTGGGGTACAGGGAGACCCTGTCTCAAAAAGACAAAAACAAACAAAAAACAAACGAAAAACAAACATCTGTTTACTGCTCAAAGTTATTGAAAGACTGAACCTGTATATTTTAAACAGTGTAAGTCACTGCCTTCTGCCATGTTGGGCCGTAGGTTTTGGTGGGAGGAGACAGTTGGGCTGGAGAGAGATTTTCTGTGGTTCAGAGAGCTGCAGCTTTTAGAACCATGCCTGCAGGGAGCAGCTACAGGCTCTATCCCATCGCTCCTTCAAGAGATTCTCCCTGTGTGCTCTTGAATCTTTAGCTTTTCACATGTCGTCAGGGACAGATTTCAGGTGTAGTGGAAAAGTTAGCAGGACACAGTCGATCGCGCAGCAGTTGCTCTAAGATCAGTGTAGGAAAACGGTGGAACAGGGTCTACAGGCTTGGCGTCACAGCTTGTCCCCACCTGACAGTGGGTAGGTCTGACTTCTGTGGAGATTGAGTTTTCACCACCATAGGAGGGTGCAATGATTCTTTGGATGGGGAACGAAAAGCACTTGGCGGTTTGGTGGCCACAGGACATTTGCATGTCATGTGCTAGGCCCAGTGGTTCTTGGAGCCTATGGGGGTTTTGAGCCCTTGCGTCAGTCTAAAGTGTTTTTTTTTTTTTTTAAATAAAAATTATACCAACATTAATGTTTTTTTTCTAAAAGGACTTTTCTGGAGATTTCCATGAAGCTGCTTTTCTTTTTTAATTGGTATGGTTCATCATACAGTAAATAAAAAATATTCACCATGTGTCATGGTTTTCTTTTTAAAAAAATTATGTGTATGAGTGCTTTGCCTGTATGTATGCAAGTGCACCTGTGTCGTGCAATGCCTACAAAGGCCAGAAGAGGACATGCGGTCCCCTGGAACTGGAGTTACAGATGGTGGTTAGCCACCATGTGGGTGCTGGGAACCAAAACCAGGTCCCCTGGAAGAGCCCCAGTGTTCTTAACCGTTGAGCAATCTTTCCAGCCCTGAGCTGTTTTTCTTAAAGACACCTTCAAATAAAGTAGACAAGGTCCTTTCCTTAGTAGAGAGAAGATACTGAATACACAAAGGAAGTGAAGTGCTATGATGTGTAAAAATACCGAGGGCTGTGGAGATTCGCAGAATGGGATGGGGGCCAAGTGCAAATAGGGGACCTGGGGGCCGTGCCACCGAAGCCGGACGTGGAGCCATCCAGGTGGGTGTTTGGGGGAGAGCTGTGGCCAGAAGGACGGGCTGTGCAGAGGCCCCCAGTGGCAACTCATCTGCCTTGTCAGATGACCAGCAAAGGGTCAGTAGGGCTGGAGCGGAAGGATCGAGGAGAGCATGGTTGGGGCGGGGGTCTACTGCGAGGGCAGGCTCCAGAGCTCGGAGAATTAAGGGTGTTCGGTGAGCAGTGACCTGATCTGACTGAACGTAGGACTGTCCTTCAGTGGCCTGGACGAGCAGGGGTAGGAAAAGGGCTGCGGGGGTGAGGGGGTGAGGGGGCCACGGCTCCATGGGGGTGGTGGCGGAGGAGTGGGGAGGGTCAGATTCTGGGTCTGGGTAAAGGTGTGCAGAGTGTCCTAACACTCAGGGTACGAAGGGAGGCACAGCCCAGGTTGGTGCCCAGGCGCTTGCCCTGCGCAAGCGAAGGGTGCCGGTGCAGTGAGCATGGGGGCTTCGACAGGTTGGGTGCTGGTCCCGGGGAAAGATGGTGGAGTCCAGTTTCAGATGTGCTGAGTTTGAAATGCCTCTTGTGTCTTGTGGTTGATGCTGAGTGGGATATTAAAGCCTAACTCTGGTATGGGGAGAGAGTTCCCGAGTGAAGATTGAAATTTGGAAGTGAGTGGCACTGAGCCGATAGGTGAGGCTGTGGGTCTGGGCACAGTCACCAGTGGAGGGAGACAGGAGATGGAGTAGAGGCGACGTACTGCCCTTGGCACTGCAACGTAAGAGCTCAGGAAGACGGCTAGAGAGCCACATGGCTGCTAACATCTATCAGTGAGTCCAGAGGCTCTGATCCTCTCTTCTGGCCTCTGTGGGTATTGCAAGACACATGTGCAGGAAATACACTCAGACACATAAAATTAAAACAAAGGAATCAGGAGGACAACGAGCTAGCAAAGGGAAATGAAGAGTAGCCGAGAACCACACAGGTGCCCAGAGTGGACCTTGGGTGATGAGGCTCCCTTGTCTAGCGGAGGCCCATGCCAGTGCCAAGGAGAGCGACTACGGTCTGCCCCTCTGTGCCAGCAGCTGAGGTGGGAAGAGAGAATGGAGGAGAGGACGTGCAGATTTTGAATCTGGAAATAAGGATTTTTGCTTCAAGAAGTGGGTGCCAGCCGACGAGAGAGGGGCAGAGCAGGAGGCTAGGAGCTGGGGCTTGTTTTGTTTTGAAATGTGAGAGAGGTTAGTAAACAGGGCAAATTCCAAGGATGATGCAAAGGATGGAAGAGGGGGTGGGTCTGATGCTGGCGTGGGGCTGGTATAGACGGGCCATGGGAGTGGGGCGGGTCTGATGCCAATGTGGGGCAGGTATAGATGGGCCATGGGAGTGGGGAGGGTCTGATGCCAGCGTGGGGCTGGTATAGATGGGCCATGGGAGTGGGGCGGGTCTGATGCCGGTGTGGGGCTGGTATAGATGGGCCATGGGAATGGGGGGTGTCTGATGCCAGCATGGGGCTGGTATAGACAGGCCATGGGAGTGGGGTGGGTCTGATGCTGGTGTGGGGCTGGTATAGACAGGCCATGGGAGTGGGGCGGGTCTGATGCCAGCGTGGGGCTGGTATAGACGGGCCATGGGAGTGGGGTGGGTCTGATGCCGGCGTGGGGCTGGTATAGACGGGCCATGGGAGTGGGGTGGGTCTGATGCCGGCGTGGGGCTGGTATAGACGGGCCATGGGAGTGGGGTGGGTCTGATGCCGGCGTGGGGCTGGTATAGACGGGCCATGGGAGTGGGGGGTGTCTGATGCTGACGTGGGGCTGGTATAGACGGGCCATGGGAATGAGGCCATGGCAGGTAGAGAGAGAGCTTGGTGTGGCACCTTCGCTCCTCAGTGAGATGAAAGTGGAGGAGAGTCTCAGAGATTTGAAGAGCAAGGAGAAGGTGTTAAGTAGTCCTGTAGTTGAGCTATTTATGTTTTATTTTCTACTTCAGTGAAATTCATTGCTATGAATTCTGTAAACGTGGGGACAGGCTGTCAGTTTTAGGCCTTTGCTATATAACTTCTGTTCTGTAGCCGTGATTTTCTTGGGGCCTGGTTTTACCAGGTCATATTCTATAAATATATATTATGCTAAGAAGATTGTTTTTTCTTGAGACAAGGTCTAGCTATGAGGCCCAGGCTGGTCTTGAACTCACAGTCCTCCTGCCCTGGCCTCCTGAGTGTTGGGACAGTGGGCATGCATCCCACTTCCTGGCCAATTTTGATCTCTGTCAATTTTTTAAAAAAATATTTATTTTTATTTTATGTGTATGAGTGTATTGCCTGCATGTATGTGAGTGCACCTGTGCCATGCAATGCCGCGGAGGTGAGAAGAGTGTTTTGGATTCCCCTGGAACTGGCTTTAAGGATGGTTCGGAGCTGTCCTGTGGGTACTGGGACTCAAACCTGGGTCCTCTGAAAGAGCAGTCAGTGCTCTTAACTGCTGATCCATCTCTTCAGGCCCTGTCAATTTAAATCAAAAGCAGACTTTACTGTGAGCAATGCTGCTGTAACCTTGGCTATTGCTCTGAAGCCTCCC